GGGCAGCACCTAGTTCAGGAAGGGAACCAAAGAGAAGGGTGGGTGCGGCAGGATCGAGTGCGGGTGCGGACAATGGGAATGCATCAGGGAGGAGAAAGAGTGTTGTCGCTGGAGTTGGAGACATTGGTACTGGGAATGGGACAATTGTCGCGCGCGGACGGAGACCCAGCGTTTCGGCCAGTACCGCGCCTCCAGCGGACGACCCACCAGCACGCCCATTGAGGAAACGCGAAAGCATCAGCTCAATGTGGAAGAAGGACAAAGCTGACGAGGCCGCTGCAGCTGCCAAAACTGCCGCTCGAGCAAGCGCCACCAGTCCTGTACGAAGCAGACCGCGCTCAGGTGCAATCAGTCCGGAACCAGTAGCACCGACACGAACGGTTCGTAAACGTGAGAGTGTTTCTTCAATGTGGAAACGGAATTCAGGTGACTCGTCCGCAACTTCCCGAGCGTCCCCGACCGAGAACGACAAAGGAAAAGCAGCACCAACCAGACCAGCACGGACCCGCGGCGTTTCCATGTCTTCTACAAACTCGAATCCACGCCCACAGCCGCAACAATTAACGCCATCACCTCCTCATTCCCCGCGCGCAAGTCCTGTGCAGATGACGGCCGCTACCGACTCATCACGACATCGACGAGCAGCATCACAATCTGCTGCTCGACCTCCACCCCTCGATGCAATCATGGCTGCCAACAAGAAAGCAAATAGGCTGTCGCGAGAGATAGTTACTTCACCTACGGGTATGGTCAGCCCTCCAGCCAGTCCGGCTGCAAATCGGAGGGTCCCAGTATGGGAACGGGCAAATGTTACAAAGAAGGAACGGTCTGGTGGGTCTGGGAAGACGAAGGGATGGCTATGATTGGTGCTATGTAAGGATTCATCTGTTTCGGGAGAAAGACCAACTATGTATGTAGGGCGCGTAAATTATCTGTTCGGCAGAAGCTTTCTCTTTGGACGGGGGTTCCGGTGTAATATACTTTTTGGGCCGTGAAGGGGCACGGGGGTGTTGTCTATGGATCGCTGATATTGCTTTGACCGTTTTGTGTGTGTGTGGAATAGGGCTCGTCGAATCAACGGTGGTCAGTTCCCATTGGTGAGAACGCTTGGGGATGCCGTTTCGAATCTGGACAGTTCCCTTCGAGCTGGTCATGGTCACTTTGGGATGTTGCAATCGTGCCAAGTGACCAGGAAAGTTTCATTCAATTATTTTACCGCACTGGCTTCGCGCACTGTGTGTGGTACGACGACTGTGCCACATGAATGCTGCGGATGTCGGTGGCATTTCACCACCTTGATGTCATCACTGATTGACCCTGGAAGGTTCTTCCTTGATTACAAACATTCGCATTTCGTAAGTTTACCAATGACTTCTCTCTACATCTTCCTGTTTGCTATTTTTCAAAAACTCCATAAAAAGCAGACTTCAGGGTAAAATCTGACGCAGTGAACTGCTGGCGTAGGACAGATACTAGGTCGTACCATAGTCAGTGCCAATTCACTGTCCGTAAACACAATGGCACTTGTTGACGAAAATCCTGGCCTCCTGGGAAAACCGGGGCAGGCTGATGCACCAACAACGACGCTCACCGTCACTTACAAAGGAGTACCACATACCCTCACCTTTCCACCTGCCGCAACCCTCGCCGACCTAAGAGAGACACTTTCAACAACTCCCGACATTCTTTTGCCTCCTACCTCTCAAAAACTCGTAATTAAAGGAAAATCCTCATACCCGGACACCACGCTCCTCTCCGCCCTGCCGACTGTAAAGCTTATGCTCATCGGCTCAACAACCCAAGAAATCAATAAAGTCCAGAAAAACACGTCCATTGCACAAGCACGAGCGGCGAGAGTTCAGGCTGCACGGAAGGCAATACCATCCTCATCCTCTTCCGGCGGAATACATACAATAGGCACCAACGACCTATCCTCTTATACCTTTCATACGCTCACTCCCCTTCCAAACTTCGCGGATGCGTCTAGAGCTCTCAACCTTCTAACGCGCCTCCGTGACGATACCGGCATCCACAGCATAATGCAAAAGCACCAATGGTCCGTCGGCGCCCTCATCGAGCTACACCCCGCTGAACGCACCATCCTGGGTTACAACCAAAACAAAGGTCAGCTCATTGCTCTACGTCTGCGAACAGACGATTTGGACGGGTTTCGGCATTTTGATTCGATTAGGAAAGTCTTGCTGCATGAGCTATCACATATGGTGCATTCAGAACATGACGCGAAGTTCCATCAGTTGAACAGGGAGTTGAATAAGGAGTGTGATTTGGTTAATACTGGGAGGACGGCTGGAGACGGGAAGTTTTACAATCCGCCGGAGGAGGAGGCGGTGGATGAGAAAGCTTTCGAGGGTGGGGTGTTTGTACTGGGAGGAAGCACCGTTGTTAGTGGGGGAGGACATGTCGGTTCAGGAGGAGGGAGTGACGCATCATCAATGCGGGAGGTGCTTGCGAGGGCCGCTTTGGGGAGGTTGACGAAGGAGGAGGAAGAGATGGTAGAGGGCTGCGGGTCGCGGAAAGAGTTCGATAAGAACGAGTAATGGTAGGATGATCTAATTGCGACCTTTTCAGATAGCTGATAGCCTAGCTTGTATATAACCTTACCACTTTGTACCAAAATGTATATTCTTCAGTGTTAGAAGGCAATTGCGTCGCAAAATGAACTATTTATTATTGATCAATGCCGAAATTACCGGATGTGGGCAGGCAGATTTGGGTATCCTTCAAAATTGTTTACGAAGAATTCTGGGGAAGGAGGGAATATCAATGCGTCTGAGCTTACGCGAGCAGACAAGCCTGCAAAGCCCGATTACAGTGAGTGACTCAACATCGTGGTCCTTGACTCACAACATTGACTGCTCATTGTTTACTCGCCATCTCTTCGAGAATTCCCCATCAATCGCATCCCAATAAACCGTCACAATGTCTCGACAAACACAGCAAATGCGGAACATGGTCCAAAACATGATGCCGAAGGGCGGGGGTAAGGGGCTCTTTGCCTCAGGTGGCGCCATGATTGGACTGGGGGTGTTGGCGGTTGGGGTCAACGCAAGTTTGTTCAACGGTATGTCATATTTATACCCATACCCCTTTCAGTTGTACCTGGGTTGGAAGCGCCTTCCAGGCACTGACGTCAAACTTTGTCTTAGTTGAGGGTGGTCACCGTGCGGTGAAGTTCTCTCGGATTGGCGGAGTAAAGGACGAAGTCTTCAACGAAGGCACCCACTTTGTCATTCCCTGGTTCGAAACTCCTATTGTTTACGATGTCCGCGCGAAGCCCAGAAACATTGCCTCCCTCACCGGCACTAAGGGTAAGGTGGCAACTTCGTTCTGCTTGAGCTATTGCCTCGTATGAAAGACGTGCGAAGGAGAATAACATAAAATTTTGCTAGATCTCCAAATGGTCAACATCACCGTCCGTGTCCTATCTCGGCCAAAGGTTGAGAAACTCCCCGTCATATATCAGACCCTGGGTCAGGACTTTGATGAACGCGTGCTCCCCTCCATTGTCAACGAAGTTTTGAAGAGTGTCGTGGCACAGTTCAACGCCAGTCAGTTGATTACACAGCGTGAAAGGGTGGGTATCAACAAATGCGGAGGGCGTGGGAACATAGTAGGGGACGACTTGCGAAGGCCGACACATTGCTGGAATGCACAGTTCGGGGCGCGATGCGAACAAACATGAACCGGTTGCAATTGTTCGCGCTAGAGTCCTTTGAAATCGCGATCTGGACGACATCTTGCAACCGAGTCTAAATTGCACCAATCTCCTCGTTCTCACAGGTATCCCGGTTAATCCGAGAACACCTCATCATCCGTGCCGGCCTTTTCAACATCACACTCGACGACGTTTCCATCACCCATCTCACTTTCAGTCCGGAGTTCACACATGCCGTTGAAGCTAAGCAGATTGGTAAGGCATCTCGTTGCTATTCGCTTGATCTCAAGAGGCGGGAAGTGCTAATCCCTCATATAGCTCAACAAATGGCGCAACGCGCTTCCTACATCGTTGACCGCGCTAAGCAAGAAAAGCAGTCCATCATCGTGAAGGCGGAGGGAGAAGCTAAGTCTGCGGTCTTGATCGGAGATGCCGTCAAGAACGCGCCTGGATTCTTAGAGCTGCGGAAATTGGACACGGCAAGAGAGATTGCATCGACAGTGGCCAACAGCACAAATAGGGTGTTCTTGGACAGTGATGCGTTGTTGTTGAATGTGAGTATTGTGGATGTGATTTGAGTTCCGTTGTTGACCTTGAGATTCATGGAATACTCATGATTCGTCATTTTCACGCTATGCTTAGACTGCCGAGTTGGTGGGGTAAGTTGGATCTTTCATGGCATTTCTCAAGAATCCATTGATTTCTTATACAACATACAGGGACGATAAGAAGCGATAATGATTAACTAATGCGCCGTTGCGATATTGTTGTGTGTCTCTACATTGTGAATAGTATTGTTTTCTTCTGTACAGATCCATGGTCGTGGTGGTGAAGGTGGTGGTGGAGCTTGTAATCCTGGTTAGGAGGCAATGAGGGGTCGGGGTGCATGTCGTCGGCGAAGGTGCGAAAATGGGATGTTCAATCGATGGGAATGCGTGAACTTTTTGGGGCTCCGACATTTGCCAACATCTGCTACGTCCCGACATCACATGGGAAGGGCAGATGAATGTAGGGCAAGGGATTGATCACCAAATGCCGACGCTCACTTGTTTGGATAGTTATGGTTGGCCGGATCTGAGTTTGGTGGTGCAGCATGCGCTAAGTTGGCGAAAGATTACACTGAATTCAATGATTTGGGTGAACAGTAGGACCTTGTTGATGTGAAGTTGGAAGGACGGGCCTTTTATAGAGGAAATCTCGAACTGGGGTTGCGGGTGTTAATAGAGGGAAGAAGCATAAGTTGGCTGATTCTGCGCGTAGGACGGGAAGCATCAGAACGTAGATTACCAGAACAATCCAAAAGTTGTGAATGCGATAGGACAAGTGCACACTGTGAGATTCGAACTCACGCCTCTTGCGAGACCACGACCTGAACGTGGCGCCTTAGACCAACTCGGCCAAATGTGCTTTTTATTTAAGGTAAAATCCGTAACATATCATTGGTTTGTTAAGATTGGAATTTGGAGTGAAAATGTGAAGTATGAAATTTACTTTTTGGAAGCGTGTGCAAAATGATCACCTAAGTGAAGTATAGAGTGAAATCAGCCACTAAGAATCATGCTGTCTATGTGGAGCGATGGCGCCGATGGCTCCGCTGCTACAGAAGGGAAGGAAACTTTAAGGAGGATGGGGATTAGAGATTAGTTTTAATCCGTAAGGGGTGACTTGAAGCAACTCGGACCAGTGAGTGGAACGCCTTAGACCAACTCGGCCAAGAATCTTCTATCTTTCTGCGGATGAACTTCGTAACTATGCAACATTGCGGCAGCAGGGGAGGATTAGAAAGGGAAAAGCGGAGTTTTGCTGGTGATCTCATTGCTGCCGTGTGGGCTGATGGCCATGCCAGTTCCGCTTCCACAGGTGGTTTGGCGAGACATCCAACTTGATCTGCCACGTTGGCCAGCGCCATGATTGAATCCGCTGCCCTCATGGGTAATAACGGTAACCTTCAAGGCATCCAGCATACGTCAAACAACTTCGGACACGGTGTATTTACATTGAAGTGGCAAAACCGCCTTATCCTAACCAACCAAGCGCCAGAATATGTACATTGAGCATGTGGAAGTAAACCTCCCGACCATCAAATTTCTACCTTCTACCAAAGACCAAAACTTGTCAGCATGCGTGACCCCAAGACCGTTCCAGAATCCGCCAAAGCCTATTCACTACATGCAAGATTTGACGCCTTGCTCCAAATCATTCAACCTTCACCATCTCTATCGTCCCATCCCCACACTTGAACTCATACCCCAGGCACAACAAGTTAGTCCGAGTCGGGATGCCTTCTCCCGTAGTGGACGGGCACACAATTTCAAAGGTCTGGCAAAGGCCTCAATAAGTTCACAACATCACCAAGAATCTAAATGCCCCCTTCATCACCCAACCTACCTGAACGACAGTCAAATTCTCCACCGCCACAATAACAGCTTCATCCTGGTCCATCTTCACGAGACCATTCAAAAAAGCTGACCAGAATCCGCCCATGAAGTCGAATTTGAATGTGTCTGTGTCCGTTGACGGTGTGGGGTCATTCTCAGACGTGTCTGAACTGTTTGCTGTTTGCGTCTGAGCAGTGCCAGTGGGATTGTGACGCGCCAATGTCTGTTTTGTTTCCAAGATCCGCGATCCAAAATGGTAAGCGATCGTCGTGCATTCCACCCAGGCATCTTTGTGGTATTTGGTAAGGGATGGTAGCTGCACTACGCAGATGTTGTGAAAGACTGATGAGATTGTTGTTGGTGATTCGAGCTGCTCTGAACTGGGTTCCGCGTACGGTTCCGAATGTGATTCCTGGCAATCCGTCTCAGGTTCCGGCGCCACTTTTGGAAGCAAAGGCCAGATGTTCAGGCCAACTTTCAGATGGTAGAAAGAGGTTTGTGATGGAGGGAGATGCCGCAGAATGGTGGACAGATGACGGGACGATTGATTTGCCAGGAATAGGGATTGGAAGGCGGGAAGGAGTTGGAGATTAAGCGATTCTGAAGGAATGCTTTGTATGGAATCGGTGACACCAGGCAAGAGCGCAAGTGACTGTCGTGTGGTCTATCATATAATGGGCGTGTCATCGATATGCATTCCGAATGCGCCATGACTGTGGATCCTCCATCCCAATTCTCAATAAACAAACATAATATATTTGTTTATCTTACCTCGCAAGCACACTTGCCTCGCTCATCCACAAACATGTACAGGAACTTGAGTGCACACAGAGCTCGAACGTCATCATAAGGCTTATTGTCTTCATGCAAGATGTCACTGGCAACCTGGCTCTCGTGATCTCTGAAGAGCTGCTGTTGTAGTGGATTGGGAGATATCGGTGTGGGATAAGGCGATTTATCAATATCTTCCTCCTCCAATGGTCTTTTACGGCTGTGGGACGGTCGTTGAGGTTGTGGGATCCAAGCTCGTGGTTGCTGAGGAAGCAGTTCGGCCGCTTCACTGGCCTGTGGCTTGATTGATCAAGCAGCGGTTGAATGAGTGCAATTCATGGGCGTGATTGGGAAAGCAGGAACGACTTACCAGCTTGAGCTCGGAAGGGCTTTTCTTCACTTTTTTGTTGATGTGCTGGCTGTAGTGCTTCGTTGATTTGACTGGTCTATGTACAAGAGACTGAAAAACAAAAAGGATTAGAGTAAGCTGTGAGCGAGGAAGGCCGCGCGTGGAATGCGCGTGGTGGCGCCGCGCAAAGCATCAGAGCACAAGCTTTGGCCGGCACACTCACCTCTTCCTCAAACACCTCCCCCACCATTCCACCCACTCCCGCCATTCCTCCAACAAACCCCACTTGGTCTCCTGTCATATTCTCACAGCAATCTAAAGATTCGTAGGGGTTGGGTATTGCGCCGCTTTTCAAGTATCAGATTGCAAGATGCTTGGCCAAGATCACAACATCGACCGCGATTCCTTCGTGGGAAAGTAGGTCCTTCTCGCAAGAAATGGTCCTAAAATATAAGAGAAAGCAAGAGACCCTTGTGAACCCTGGAGACAAAGACAACAACAACGAGCGAATGACCCCATGACCTCTTCTTCACCCTGTTGCATATATGAATTCTCGCAGCCGTCAATGCAATCTGGGCCGCAATCAATCATCAAAATGAAATGATTACGTCAGCGAGTGCTGAGGCACGCACGGTTCCTCGCACCGACAAAATAGTCGAAGAAGTTGGGGGTAGATTTGAAAATCTGAGTATGCCAAAACGGGATTGAAAATGAAAGGATTTTGTATTGGATAACGTACATTGACCCAAAGAGCTTGAATCAATTGGAAATTCGCAAATTGCAAAAGCGACATGTGCATGAGCGCAAAACAGGTATCCGCGAGTTCAGTGTATTCTGTGCACTTCCTGACCATTTTCACAAGACCGAGTACAGTGTCATGCAAAGAAATACGAGCCGTAATCATGATTGAAAATGAGTGGGGAAAATTACCTGGATGCCCCTGAAATATCGCCTGCCACAACAAATTCAACGCTTCAGTCTGACACTCTTTCACTTTTGTTGGCGCAAATCTATATATATCAACGGATGGAACATTGATGGGAAACTACCTTGAGCAGTCCCGGATATACTAAGAGTAAACTAATGTACTTATTTGTGAAGAAGTCCGCATAATAAACTTGTAACAGCGACAATGCTGCCCGCGCCCACCTCCGTTAGACATTCTTGTGCTGGACAGCAATGGGAACGATCTCCACACAAACCATAGCCCCATCGATAATCATACTCTAATGCCTCCTAAACGCTCGTCTCAACATCCCTGACGTCCCAATCTCCCACAACCGCTTCCCAGCCCCCATAAGTATCAAAGTCGCCGCCAGAATACCGCACGAAACACAGGCAAACGCCAGCGCACAAGCACTTCCCAGCCCTCCCACCGCCGCCGAACACTCTCCCATCTTTCCGACCGCAGCCCGCAATCCAAACACCCAAAGGACAACCAATCCCACATGCGCGATCGCCTCAGCAGTACTCGACAGGACGCCATCAGCCACCCGGAATGGTGTTCCATAGCCTAGAGGATAAATGAGGTACATAACGATGGAGGCTATTGAGACGAGTCCGCTGACACAAGACGCGATAGGTAGGAGGGGTTTCGATGCGGATATTGCTGCGGGAACAGTGCCATGAAGCAGCGCCATGAAGAGCGCAAACGTCGCAAAAGACGCCAACCCACTCAAAAGCGCAACCCAACACCTCGCCTGCCTATAAAACGGCGCATCCTTCCACGCCATATTGTTATTCCCGAACCCCATCGTGCCAAACTGGTCTTTACTCGGGTATCCCATCTCATCCGGCCGTGGACCCGCGGGTCTCGTCTTTTTGAATCCGAAGCCGCCGGATTTGGGTGTGTTGTTGTGGTTGAAGTGGCCTTGTTCTGGGAAGGCGATGGAGGGTTTTGGGGGGTATTTGCTAGCTTCGGCGGCTTCGAGGGCGTCGCGGCGTTGACGTTCCAGGGTTCGCGCTTTGGCTTCTTCGAACCAGTCTTGGGCTTCTTTGTGGAGGTTGTTGGAGGGGCGTTTGAGGGGAGAGTTGTCGAAGGAGAGGCGGAGTTCTAAGTCGCCTGAGTAGCGGATACGGGGTTCATTGTTGGTTGGGCTTGGATAAGACATGATGTGCGTCGGGTATGTGGTGAGAGCGAGGACAGAGAAGGAAAGTGTCTATAATCGTGCCGCAAGTCTGGAGGAACCGGTTTGTTTATCTCTTGTTTATTTACAATCTACGTCTAAGCCTGTTATTGGAAAACCTGTGAGACACATTGGCAGGTGAAAGAAACAGCCAGTCCATTCTTCAAGTACATACCCGAAGCCCTCCTCTATTTTCTATTTTCCTTACACGTGTGGGACTCGGTGCAGACTTGAAAGTGTTAACAAATAATAGAATTGTGTTGGGAGATGACAATGAGAAGATAACACCGACAACCGAACACACACAAGACACACTGACAGCACACAGGGCCTGAGCTATGAGGAAGAGTAGAACAAAGAAGGGACTCCAAAGGGGAGGTCAATCAAGTTGACTGCAAGACAGTCTGCAACAGAACAACAACTCACTTCACACTCACTTTGCCTCCGCCTCAGTTTTTGTCTCCTCCAGTCCCTTTTGGGAGGATTCTTGGCCCTTCTGCCTGTTTCACAGACCTCCGATAGCCAGCCACCTGGCCCGTCCTTTGCATTACCAAGAAAGACTCGGGCCGCCCTGCACGCTCATCAGGTAAGCACAATCGGCAGACTCTGCAGGGTCCTAGTGTCTATGCGAAATCATGTTGGAACTAGACTGGCATGGTGCAGCCAGTGCGACCGTCGATGAGGTACTCAACCCCCCAGTCTTTCATGATCATAGTCCAAAAAGGGGCCCAAGTCCAAGATGGAGCACACACCCAACGAATCTCTGCCTATCATGTCCCATTG